TGCTAAGATGCATGTTGAATTAAAACAGCCTTAATGGCAATAAATAGAGAGAGGTCCGCCCATTCTGTCCTGTGCTTTAACTGCTCTCTGAATGGTTTTTAACACCTATGTCTATGTACAAGTTTTGATCAATGAGCAAAATGAGTAAAATGTAACCAGAACATGTTATACCTGTGTGAAAACTCTTTAAACTAATCCTGTGTTGTCCATTTTCATAATTTTTGTTAGTCATTGCCATAATAAATGTTTTCTTTTCCAATTTCTTCCACCAGCCTTCTGCCAAGTGTATGAAAAAATGTACACTTTTTAATTTTGGTCTTTCATGATGGTCTAAACTTTTACTGTCGGTACATATAATTAGAGCACTGTTTCTTTCTCTTGCCAGAAGTTTTAGGTACGGTCAGTGAAATAGTTATGTTGTAATTTGGGGATCATTATAAGAATTAACATTCTTTAACCTCATGAAGTTTGTATTTTTTTATAACTTCATTGTTATAGACCATTTGAAGTACAGCAAAGAAATTTTAGTCCATGCAGAGAAAGTTTTTTGGCAGTGAGACAAGTAATGAAAGAAATTGGAAAATAATTGCCAACCTCTTGGCAAGAACTCAGAGGAATTAGAACTCTGCATTTTTAAAGCCATTACGAAGTTCAAATTGTTCATCATGCAGGGGTAAAATCAACTGTTAATTCTTCAAAAATGTTTTCGGATGCACTGTTTCTGTCATTATTGAATGTGACAGTAAACAACCAGCAGTGCTGTAAAAGCAGAAGGTCACAGCACTTAGAGAACAGTTATAGTCTGACAGGAGTTCCATATGCCCTGTGCCCATTGGACTCAGGAGTGATGACTTGGGCTTTGGTGACTGATTTTTTAAGTCTGGGTAGGATATGTGTCTTTTGAACACTTAGATATTATTTTGATCTCATTTGAGGTCAGTGGTAGTTATTTTCATAGTAATAATCAAAGAGAGTATTTTGCCCTTGGTAATCTTCACCTATTGAATTAAGTCTTCATTTCTGAAAGTGCTGATTAGCATTTAAACCAGGTGAGGTTTATCTGTCTCCCCATCACTGGCATTCTGTATGAACAATGTGTCCATATATGCGATATCAAACTGCACAAGTGCAGATATGACTCCTCTAAACTCAAAGTTCAGTGTTTTCCTAATTACTTACAGCCTATTGAGATTAAAGCAACAAGATCTCTCTTGTGTCAAACAAGAAGCTCGCATTCTTTACCGATGAGCTACTCTTCTCTTTCCCTCTTGATAATCATGGGCAACAGTCTTGCAAACAGACCATTCCAGTGCCCCCCCAAGCAAGCCTTTGTAACTTGTGGTTGACCTAATTGTGCAGCAACAGCACCGCTGCTGCGAAGCAGGGGAGATCCCTGCTATGGCACTCGCTTGGGCTTTGCACGGTCTGCAGCCTGGAGGAGGACATAGGTAAGCAGAAATGCAAGGCGTTGAGGGACACTCTCTAATTTTGTCTGTGGGTGAGATGTCTCACAGAGATTTCAGTATGACTTGGAGACTGCAAAGTTCTGCACTCCTTTCAGTATCATACCTCACTTGAAGCCAGTGGACAGGGTTGCATGTTCTTGAAAAAATGATCTTGGCATTGTTACACATTTGAAAATGCAGAGAGTCTTCTGAGGTATTTCATAAATATATTGTGTGGCAATTTTAATTTGTGTGTCCAATCCAAGAAGTACTGGCTGAATATTCTGTCTTAAGCTCGATGTGTATACATGAGACCTTGAAGATCAGAGCCTGTATTGAAATCTTCTTAGTATCATGACAGAGAAGAAAGAACCAAATGTTGTGATTTTTCTTTATTCGACCAAAAAACAACCTCAGTAGCTGCCATCGTTATGATCACACTGTGCTTGGTGTGTGGTGCTTCTCCGCGTGTGCACGCCCTCTGAGAAAAAATATGCAAAAAACAGAAGGCAGAATCACACCTACTACTGCATGTAATCTATTTCTGTGTAAAATTAGGACGTTTTAAAAGGTATTTTCTGACTCCTAGAGTCAAGACCACTCAGTGACGTTGAGGTAGGCTTTTTTCATGTCATGTGTCATTACCCAGTAATGCCCATCCATCTTCAGTTTGCACCAGTGGAGACTTAATCAAGCGTGTATAAGGAAGAATAGTTTCTTACTTAATCCATCCAAGGATGGCTCAACTTTAAAACAGCGGTGTTTCTTAGCTGAAAAAAGGTTGTTAACATGACACAGAACTGTAGCAGTTGTGTTTTATGTGTTTGGTTTCATGTTCAAACAAGTAGTAGTGGCAGTTGAAACGGTTTGCCTCAGCCGGCAACTCTGTTCAGTGCCATGTGTTAACTATGTTGAATATTAATGGATCTTTCAGTAAAGATGGAAGATTAGGGAACTGCTTTGACGAACTGATAGACTTGAAAAGAGGGGGATATTTTGGTTTTGCTTCAGCACAGGGAATTTAACTGTTGAATAGAAAGATGTCTTTCTGTAGTTGCATGCTTCAGTCTAAAACTGCCATTCTTACACTGAACTGGATGATTCAGCTGCCAAGATCCAGATGTAACAGATAGGAATTGATTCACATGTGGACCCTGATGATAAGAGAATTGGTTTTCCTTTGCTTTGTCAATATGCGGGAAGAATGGGCTGGGAGATGGAGAGTCTGCCATGGAGCAGCTTGCTGGATCACATCAGGGAGAAACTCGAGTGTTGTTACTACAGGAGGTGAGCTATGTGACCAAAAGGGTCTAAACCCCTGAGCAGAAAGATGCAGGAAATAGTTGCAGGCAGGCAAGAAGAGGATGAGGAAATGAGAGAGACAGCTAGGGGGGGAAAGCCTGCGTACCTTGTGTCAGGAACTGGAAGTAGGTACTTTGTTATAAATTGCTGTGCCAGCTATAGGATGGAGGCCATTTATGGCATCCTGGTGACAATAGATGTGGCCTGTGTTGTATAGAGGTCTCTGCGTCAAGGTATACTGCATTGTGCACTACTTCAAAACCTTCCCATGTGCTTCCACCCTTCAACTTCCACTCTTTAAACTGATTTCTTTGCTCTCCTACTTCGTTCTGCTTTTAACATACTGTAGCTTTTACTAATGCTTTGGTGGTGGGTTGTTACTGAGGGTTTTTGTTTGTTTGAAAGCCAAGCAGGCTATGTACTCTTACCTGTTTGTTTACTGTTTGGTTTTGTGGGGTTTTATTATTTGGTATTTAATGTCAAATTATTCATGTTTCTCCTAGCTGTAGTTCTGTCATAAGCATACTCTGATCCTTTCAGTGACACATACCTAGTTCCTGTAATTGCCATTTTTAAATGGAACGGTCTCTTGGATTAAATCTGGAACCTGGAGCTAATGTTAAGGAAATAAGGTCAAAGGAATCGAATAACATTACTTCCAAAGTCACAAGAGAGTCTTTGGATCATCTTCTGTCATTAATATCGATGCTTGACAGCACTTACAACTTTAATCATGATTTGTAACCCTCTGAATTTTATTGCTTCTGCTGTCAGAAATCAATTTCAGTAGTTAATGGCATCTTGTAACCTCAGTCAAGGAGAATGTTGGTTTAATTTATTTTTTTTAGTTTTACTGACAGCTACACTGCTAAGCTACGCCCTTACAAAATTATTTCTATGACATTTTTTGACAAAGTTGTTTCCAGTTCTCTGTCTTAAAGAAAACACTCTTGTGCATACAACATAATACAGAAGTATTTCTCTCCATTGATCATTTTTATTGACCTGTAGCTTCACATATGCTCAAAAAGTTGTGGATTCTGACCCTAAAAAACAGTGAAGTGTGTGTTTAATCTTAGTCACTCTTGTAAACCTGGGACTTCTCATATAATTAACATCCATCACAAGTGTCTGCAGGATCAGACCATAAACTGTTGTTTAATCTTCCTTTTGCTTACTGAGGTTGAAGAAGAGAATGGAGCACAGTTATCATTCCAAATTAAACATTTAGATTAGTCTTTATTGATTCCTTTTGATCAAAAGAAGTGTGTTTAGGCTTGATTCTGTCTTCAGCCACTCAATAATTTTCGTCATTGAAATTATTGACCTTGTTTGGTGTTCCCTTTTAATGGCATAATTGCAGGATGGAGTCTAGAGTTGTACATTTCTTAAGGGAAATAGCAAAACTGTGTTTTTCAGAAAAACAACCAACCAACCAACAAAAAAACCCCACACGCTAAATGAAAATCCAAGTCCCTAATAGGAACCAAACTAAAACTGAGTATAAAAATTGTACTGTGTCTACTCTTCTCTTAAAATGTACAACTTTTATTAGAGTTAAACATGAAAAGGGCATATCCCTTGATCCCCTTTATAGATGACTAAACATTGGAGAAGGTTCTGCTGTAAGCATAGTACTGTCTACTTTTCTGTACACTCATTGGTGGATTTTGTATGCTTTGAAAAAGAGACAATTGTTATTCTCCCACCTAACGCATAGGAAGTTGAAGTGTGGTAAAATAAAGTGACACCCAGTGGGCCAGCAGTAGATCTAGTTTACCAGTTCAGTGTCCTGACTGGGAAATGGTGCCCATTTTTACCTGTGTATGAACTTCATATTGGAAGAGTCATTATCTGTTTGGCAGCATGGAAGAGGAATAATGAGATTATGTTGTCAGAAGCAATAACAGGAGTGATTTCTTGCACCACATCATTGAAACTTTAGTCTAATTCCCAAAAAAACCCTGTCCCTTGAAAGTTATTTCTTTGTAGAAGTAAGGAAACAGATTTGCTGTGAAAGTTATAAAGCCCAAACTACACAGGACAGGCATAGCAAGCCACCTATCTAAAAGAAAAGGACAAAATTTTTATCACTTTTCAAATCGTCTTTATCCTATATATAAATATTGAGCTCCATCCTACTATTTCTGAGGTATTTCTTATGTTTTTTTCCAGTTACAGAGGAATAGTGCTCTGTGTTTGATTTATGTACTGATGACTCTCAGCTAACTTTCCTTGCTATATTTCATGTAGAGAGCCTGCTGCCTGCACATGATGATGTTAATGTAGTGGATGACGTAGTTCTGGAGCTATCAGAGATGGAAGAAACGGCATCGGAAAGCAGCTGTTTTGCGTCTGAGGACACCACGGAAGACTCGGGCGTTGTGAGCTCCCCATCTGACATTGTATCTTTAGATTCACAAAATGACAGTGTGAAGTTGAGAGACATCAAGCTGGTCAATGGCTACATGGACTCCACTGAGGCAACTGCAATGTATGGCGCAGAGACGTGCCCTGTGAGGAACACCTACGGTGATAGCGTGGGATCTGACAGTGCTCCACAGAGGTAACAAATTATTTGCAACAGCTCTTGGAAAACATCTTGCATGTCTTCCTTGTGGGGAATCATTTGAGAAAACCAACTTTTACTTTCTTCTCTTTCATAAACCGGTACCAATGCCAAGTGACTCCTCCCAGTGAAAAGCTCACTGCCAAATCCCCTCCAGTGACATACTTGTTGCAACAGGCAAAGGTCACTTTTCTGTTTGAACTCATAGTTCTATTTCTTGCGAAAGACTGCTGCCCTCCGGAGTTGATTTATTCAAAAAGTCTGAAATAATTTTGTTACTGTTTGGTTTATTTTGTAGTTCTGATAGCATATGAAGTGCTTAAAATGTTACTGTATACTGATCTAGAAAAATAACATGCAAGTCATAAAATGGTAAATTCATAAAAAGAAAAAATTCAAGCTACTGAAAGCAAGGTGGAAAAGGATTGTATTTCATGAAGTTTGGAGGTTAGTTTGTGGGTGTGTGCACGCATAAATATGTTCACCTAATGCTAACCTCCACTGGCATTATACCTTGGGGTTTTTTTTTCAGCCTATTTTGGGTTTTTTTCCCTTTTCTTTGTTTTAATAAACATTTTCCTGCAGTTTTTGCAAGAAAATACGAGAATCTGAAATTTAACTAGAAACTGCCTTCAGGCACGAGTGACTCTGACACTGTTTGCCAAAACTCACATGGTTGGTGGCAGGACTGCAAGAGAACCCAAAATTTATAGGACTTTGCAAATATGAACTGGCCAAATAGGAAGCTATGCCTCCAGCAAGGAGGGTGGCCTGGTAATACTGACAGGGATCCGCTCTGTGTGATGCTGCAGAGTCATGGGACAGGGGCCAGAAATTCCTCTGAATTCTCAGTTGACACAAAGTCTGTGCTTTCTGGTCTCTCTCCATTCAGCTGCTAATCTGTAGCTCCTTCATAAGAGTATGTATCATGACCTAGTTATTTCCTTCCACACATTTCTGAGGGAGAACTTCATCTTGGATCATGTAGAGACGTATTAGGCCAAAGTCAGTATTTAACCTATTGGAATGATCTCAGGACTTTTCTTTATACATCAGTATCAATAGGGACAGGGTCAAGCCTCAGTAAGATACGTGCTCAACAATACATTTTTCTTGTTATTTGTCCTTTTACCATTTCTTAGGTCCTGATGCAGTCTCTATTTGGAGGATCAGATAGGTTAGCATAGGAACTGCAATTAACATTCCAGACCTGATCCAAAAAAGCAACCCATTAATTTCAGTAGACTTAGATTGGGCTTTGTAAGATGATTGTATAACTGATCTATCCCAACTTTCCTCAAAATGCAGGATCTAAGCTGGTTAGGAAAGCACACATGCACATTGAGTGTGGGGAGGGGAAGAAGTTGTCATAATGTTGAGCAAAGACATCAAAGCAAAGCCTTGTAAGAATAATCCTAATCAGTGAAAAATATTTTGGACTTTTTCTGGTGTTCTAGCTAAATAAAAGATTGATCACAGGTCATTAAGTGACACGCTCCCTTTTGGCAGTCAGTATTCTCTCCATCTTTCATTTCAGCCAAAAATATATATTCTGTACATTGCATTGGCATTTACCGTTGCCACACAAACACACAAAGTTTTTAATCATTGGAAATAGTGCACAAGAGACAATGGGACATTTCAGAATCTGGCTGGCAGGACTGCTGCTCCAGGGTCTTGTCGAGGAGGAGGAGCAGAAGCTGGAAGGGCAGCGTGGTGTGAGGGAGATGATTGCTACCCCTGCTCAGCCGCTATGAGGCCAGTGCTGTTTTACTGTGTCCAGTCTTGGGCCTCCAATTCAAGGGAGAGATTGGCAAACTGGAGAGGGTCCAGAGGAGAGCAACTGAGAGGGCTGGGAGAGGAGACAACTGGGTTGTTCACCTTGCAAAAGTGATGTGGGTAATTAAGGACATGATTGCAGTCATTCCCTGCAAGGGAGGATGAGGCGGCTTCTCAGGGGTACATAGTGAAAGGACAGGAGACTGCCACCAGCAGCTGCTGTAAAGGAAGTAAAAATTGAATATAAGGAGGAAATTTCTTAAAACAGGAGCAGTTTAGCAGTGGAAGAGGTTGCTCAGAGAGTTTGAGAAATCTCCATGCGTGGAGGCTCTTAGAACTCAGACAGGCAAAGCCTTGGGCAGCCTGGTCTAGCTTTGAAACTGACCCTGCTAGGAGCAGGAGGTTGGGCTAGGCTTCCAATTTAATATTTTCTGTGATTTTTATCGTGCTAAATATCCTGTATTTATCTAATATGTCCACAGTTCTAAAAGAGTGGTTTTAGATTGAAATACTGTTGTTTCAGGAGCGTGGTTATTTTTCATATATTCTATTTACTTTTTTAGACTCTGGCACAGCAAAATTACTTCAGATGGACTTTAGGGTATAATAGAAACTTAATATTTGTCATTTATTTTAATTTTACATCAGCAAACACTTAGATTGCCAGAGCAGCAATGCTGATAGTAATATCTTTGAAGCTTTTATGCTCTGAATGTGCTGGTAATATTTGGAGGTAAATCCAGTTCCACTCCTAATGTATGTTTGTAAACAAACCAGCTTTGAAAATTGTGCTCATCTAAATCCTTTTGAGGTCAACTTGCTAAGTTTTCAAAAGCCACTTCCTAAGTGTAGAGGGAAGGGAAAAAAAGAGGTTTTTTAAACGTGTTTATATGAAATTCTTCTTTTAGTGGAATGTAAATCAATTCTGAGTACAATTTTGAGTACAGCCAAATTTGGATAACAGCAGTTTCAACTTCCACAGTCAGAGCAGCTGCCACCCCACTAATAATACCGTTTGGGAGCTCTGAGATTGTATGTAATTCTTGTGATGAACGGGCTACTTTCAGGACCAAACCAGCCTCCTGAATTCCCAGGCAAATCAAAGTGCTGTTCATGTGAATAGTTGATACGAAGCTATACAGAGTTTGAATATGTTTTGTAAGCTACAAATCTTAAAGGAAAATCTTACATGGAGTTTATTAATACCTTTCTGTCTTCTTCTAGTCTGTGTACAAAGATCTAACTCAATTCTAAAAGGAAGGTAAGACCAAAGAAATTGGGAGAACTTGTTTCAACTCTAAAGTAGCAGTAGTTAGTGGCAGTGAATTGTAGTCCTCCTTGAGTTTGAGCTCCAGTGAAGCTGGAAATTATGTTCAGTTACTAACTTGGCTGAGGCTTGATAAAAAAAGGTTAATAAGGATAGTGGAATTATGTAGCTTGTCATTTTAAATAGTAAAGCTGACTAAAGCTTGAACTTTTCACCCAATGAAATAACTAATTCCTAAGAATTTATAATGTTGTATATTAAAATATAATTCTGTACTCTGTGGGCTGTGAAAAGTATACTTAAAGCAGAAGCAATTTGTATTTGGAGTCTGAAGGGCTGTAAAGAAAGTCCAAGTGGCATTTTGCACATGCACTGTGAAGAACTGCAGCAAAGAACAAAGTCCACAGTTCTCACCTAGGTTTGGTCCAGAGACTTAACCTGTGCTCCAGGAGGTCAAAAGTATTTTGCCATCTTGCTTATTCTGGTTAATTGTATGTTTAGTTTTAAACTCATTTTTCTTAGAGTTTCTGGAATTGTTTGCTGGGTGGCCTGGGTGGTCTCTGCGTAGCTGAAATGCTTGATAGCATTAGAATATCACAGCAAGGTCTGCACCTCATCTGCTGCTGCAGTCAAGGGAGGTTGAGAGCATTTGAGGGTGCAGTCTTTAATGTGCCATAGGTTTGTCTGCACACAGCAACATAACAGTATGGCCAGGTCAGAAATGACACATACCATGGGCTTTGGACACACAGAAATGACAACCACAGCAGAGCTCAAATCTCATTTGGTTCCCAGAGCACAGGAACAGAAATTTCTAAAAGAGGGTTCCCAGATTCCAGGGTTCCCAACCTGGGGTCTTTGCTCCATTGTTTTGTTTTCTAGTACATGGGAGCAACTTGCAAGTGCACTCTTTTGTTTTCTTTTGTTCTGTTTTCTTTTGGGATTTTTTTCCAAGCAATCTTAATCCAAATACACATTATTCAGCATGTAGAATATAATATGAAATTACAGAACGCTATTTCTGCCCTTGGCTCTGCCTCTAACCTGTTAAACCATCTTTGCCTCTTCACCTCTGATATCTCCTTCAGCCACTGACTTTTTTCATGATAAAAACCATAACACAGCTATCATATCTCATGGTATGTTTGTACAGTGCCTGGCAGAGCAGAATTCAGACCTCAGCTGGAGGTGCCAAGGACTAACTCCATATAAATAATTGACTACATGCAGTGTTTGGCTGCAAGTGTTTTAGTGTTAACTGCTGACTGAACACTGTACTAGATAGTTCTCTTTCTTCATATCCTTCCCTATGGTTGATTTCTTTGTGTCATGTATCTGTTCACCAAATTTTAATATATAGTGTTAAATGAGTAACAAGAAAACCACAGAGAAGCTGAAATGTTGCTTATGTAGCAGTAAGTACATCTCATGATCTCACAGTGTTGCAACTCTGTCCTCCCATACCCCTTCCTTTCCCATCCCTTGTATGGTGTCATCACGCAAGGTTCCTAGGGGCAGGGATCAGTCAGTTTTATATGCCTGTAAAGTATCATGCACACCTACTGTCTGGAGCTTTATAAATAATTACACATTAAAAATTATGTTAAAATAATGTTATTAGGGATGCTAGGTCACACACTCAAAGTTAGGTAACATTAATATTAAGGCTGTCTCTGTAACCTTAGCTTCCCCCTTTTAACCTTAATTCCTCCTCTTTTGTGTAGTGTGATAAAGTTTCTAGTTAAAGTAATCATGCTCTGTTTTGGTTTATTTTCTTTCTAAGTTTCAGAGCTCAATTAATGGAGCAGTTATACCACTGTTCACTCTCGATTCAAATTCTCTTTTGAAGACAGGACTGTTTCATTTCCTTTTGCTCTTTTTATCTTACGCATCACACCCATATCCATGTGCCATGCAGACTTTAATTAATTTCTCTGCACAGTACTCATGT